CATGGTCTCAAATAGTATTGAGTGATATCAAGGGAAAAATGAAGTGGGCCACAGGGGTAAACAGTGACAGGAAAAGAGGGTTTGTGTAGTCACAAGAGATTTCACGTGATACCACCTCTGTAGCAGACCGAATGAAATGAAGGAGAGACCTCAGGGTTGTTTTTCTAGTTCATTAAGGTCTCTTCCTGTTCTGATCCATTTTCCTTATACTTACTCAGGTCCAGAAGGCCCTGGGGTTTTTGATATCTAAGGAGAGGAATCTTGAGTTGAACACTTAACCTCTCCTTGATTTTATAAATTTCACTTGAAAAGGCATATATTGTAAAATACTCATATATTGTTTAGGTACGCTGAAAATTGTCATATTTGTGGTGATTTGTCTGAGTCATTTTCCCAGTCACATTATCTGGAAGGTAGGCCATGACGTGCTGGTAAATGTTTGCCTCCCAGCTTCCTTGGGAAAAGATTACTCATTTGTTGCCCTTTCCAATTATCTTTATGTAATACGTCTACCATGCTGATTCCAAGCTACAGAGATAGTCACTGGACACAGAGCTGGGAAGGTATATATGCAGCAAACTCTCATGAGCCAGTGGGAGCTATCTCCTACTCTCCAGTGAAAGTAGGCTTCATGATCTCCCGTGTCACACCTTAGAATAGTAAAATTCAGAGTTGTTATAGGGTTAAACATTTACTAAGTAGTAGGCAAATTATTAAATGTCTTGAACACTGAGAAATTCTGATTGGCTTGGGATAAAAACCTAGCATGAATTTATGATTTTTTTTTGTCTTTTTGAGACAGGGTCTCCCTATATCCCCAGCTGGCCTGGAAGTCACTATGTAGACCAGGCTGACCTTGAACTCACAGAAATCTGCCTGCCTCTGCGTCCCGTGTGTTGCCCAGTGGCATGAATTTTTTTAAGAACTCTGATATCACTATGAAACCAAAGCAAACCATTGACTTAATTAATCAAGAGTCTTCTATGAAGCCAGGCATGGTAATACATCCCTGTAATCCCAAGACTTATGGCATGAGAATCATCAGTGTGAGGCCAGCCTGGGCAGCACAGTGAAAACTTGACTGTGTCCATCTCCCTCTCCCCCTCTTCATCTTCTTTCCTTTTTGTGTTTTTTCTATGCCCAATTCTTTTTCTTTATCTCCCTCTCCCATCTTTCTCTTTCTGAAGATATGGCCTAGGCTGATCTCACAGTCAGCCTCCGGGGCATTGGGATCATAGGTACATACTATGCCTGGCTTCAGAGTGCTTCTTACTGTCTTAGAACACAGTCTCAAAATTCATTTTCTTTACAGATTGTGTCAGGGAAAGATTAAGATATTCAACTTCAGTTACAGCAGAAAATTTGTCACATATCAGGATATAGTAAGGTCTTTATTTGCCTTGGATCATGACAAAGAAAGACAAAGATCTGAAAATAGAGCTCAGATCCCACTGGATTAATGCACAAGAGCAAAAACTGATACTAGATACCAGAGCTGCGTGATGACAAGGGGAGGGGGCCTGGAGAAGTCTGGCAGATCTGGAAGAAGGCTTCAGCTAAAGCATAGGCCAGAGTGAGTGATTTGGTTCTCGACTTTAGCAATCTACTCCCAGACTCACATCCTGGGCCCTGGATGGGTAAGCTGATTGAAAATGTGAGGTTTGATTCAGAGTGCTTGAACAGTCTGATCATTAATTACCTTTAAGACATGAACAAATGGTTTCATTTTTTAAAGTCTTGGTGTCTGTAAGATAGAGACAATAATGCCTACACTAGTGGTTGGTATGTTTTATAAAACCACTGAGATTCTCAAACATTTTATAGATCAAGCATAGGAGGAAAAGCTTGAAAAAGAGAATGAAAATCAAAACATGCTTTAATAGAAGACTGAGAAGTACATGTGGTCCTTACTGTCAAAGTTCATGCACATAACATAGATGTAGTGACCTCAAAGCAGTTCCTGTGGAGTAGAAGGAAAAGATGTCTGACCAGCATGTGTTAAGACGGTAGCATGAAGAAATGGAAATAGGAATATAAACTTACAGTGGGGTGAAGCACTCTTGTAATCCTAGTACTTGAGGTATGTACAGGGTAGATTAAATCAGGAAAACCCTGGGTTTGAGTCTAGCCTGGGCTATTTAGTCAGTTTGAAATTCTCAAAATAATTTTTCTTTCACAAAAAACCAAAATGTTGGGATATCTGGGAATTGAACTATGAACAGCAGGTAGAAAGAAATGTGAGACCCAGGGAGGGTTGGTTCCCTAGGGATGCTATAGTATCTCTGCATCCATTAGTGGCAGTGGCCACTGGAGAGAGTTTAAATGATCTAGAGGACAATTTCCAGGAGATCAATATATGAAAAAATGTAAAAGATAAAATGAATGTGATCTGGAACCCAAGTGTAGAGTGACAACAGGGAAACTCCACCTAGAGCAACAATAATAAAGCAGAGGGTTTGTATATGTAAATACAGATGGGTTGGCAGATTTAGTAGTGGGAAGGCATGAGAATTAATTCTGTTCTCACTATGAAGCAGTGTTATCAGCCGAGAATTAGGCAGTAAAAAGGGGCAGGGTACTTAAGAAGAAAGGCAGAGACTTTGGAAAACAGAATACAAGGGCAATATGCTAGACTAGCTTGAAGTGCTGAACTCTCACCTGAGATTCATGTGTAAGAATGTAAGAGACCAGTTAGCATTGGTATCTGTCAGGACAAGCTAGCTTTTCTTGCAGCAACAGGTAACCTCTGAGTCTGAGTGACTGTACATAACAAAGATGCATTTATTGCCTGTATAGCAAGCACGTCTATCATTCTGAGGGTCTCTGTTCTTCATAATCTCTCTGAAGCCCATCAAGCACTGGAAAGGGGCTGAGATATTGCCTTGCTTGCACCTGAACAAGTTAGCTTACCATGGAGATACAGGTGCTGGCAGAAGACACCTCTGAAACAGAGATGAAGGACTTGATCACTTGGCACTAGCCACCGTGTTGGTATTCACTTTAGTCCTTTAGCACAGTTCACAGGAGAAAGAGGGAGTCAAATTCTTACCCACAAATCTCAGGTGGGATTTCAGCACTTAAACTAGGTAGTCCTCTGAATGAGAGGATTCCTCGTGAAAAGCTTGCAGACAGCATTCACCCCTTTTAGGCTTTCTATCTTCTGCCACATGAGTGTGAGCATGCAACACTCACCAGATGGCATCTTGGAAGTAGAGAGCAGCTCTACCAGGCAACTAAACCTGCTGATACTTCGATCTTGATTGTTTCAGCTGTGAGAAATAAGTCTCAGACATTTTGTTACAGGAGCACAAATAGATCAATATGAGCTCTAAACAGGACAAGGATGAATGTAAGGACATAGGAATAGATAATAGAAAAAGATGGTTACAGTGGATGGAGGACTTGGTGAGGCTGTAGGATTTCTGGAGAAAGAAACAGAGCAGTAAACTGAATGAATGAGAAGTATTGCTCTGAGAATGGAATTCTTGAAGTGAAGGCTTCAGAGGTAGTGTGGCCTGAGTGACAAGTAGGTCAAGAGTGTGCCCCTAAAACTGGATATTTGAGATCAGGTAGTAGAAAGATTATTAGAGGTGAGAGAGAGAGAACAAAAACGCTAAGGTGTGGAATTTGTCACCTGTGAGGATATTAAAATTTCCTAGACTGAAGGACCATAGGGGTAGTAAGCAAGAGCTATTAGTTGATAGACAGAATGAACATCTAAATCTTTATTTGTGTGTCCGGGCTTCCATAACAAACTACCACAGGCTGGGTGACTGAGACAACAGAAACTTATTTTCCCACAGATCTGGAGATGGTAAGTCAAGTGCAGCAGGCTTGGTTTCTTCTCAGGATTCTCATTGATTACAGATGGCCTCCTCCATCTGTCTTCACATACTCCTGTGAGTGTCTATGTCCTAATTGCTTATAAGGACACCAGTCATATCATATTAGTCCACCTATAAAGCTTTGTTTTCATGTTGATGCACTCCTTAAGGGCCTGTCTTCAAATACCCTTACATTCTGAAGTATTATGTCTCGGGATTTCAACACATAAAGCATGGAGGGACACAGTTCAACCAATAGCAATGTCGTCTGTGAAGGTACTCCTTGGTCTTTGACTGGAGGTGGCACTCTTCTAAAGGGCCTTTGGCAAAAGCTTGGGAAACTACTCAACAGCACATATAAAGCCTCTTACAGTCTTTTCATTTTTGGAAATGATCTACTGCTGATTCTTAACCTCAGCTCTGATTTTATTCCTTGGGGCTATCTCTTAACCCTCTAGCTCCTCTGAATCTTCTCTATACTAGTTAATAAAACCTTCCACGTGAGTATGTGAGTGAATGTGTGTGTGTGAGTATGTGTGAATGTGAGCATATGTGCGTGTATGTGTATGTGTGTATGTATGTGTATGTGTGTATATGTATGTGAAATGTTCATAGCAGGTGTGAATGAATTTTTGTGTTCTTTCATATAAATGAGAATAAAACATGTTCCCCTATTTTAGCCTTTGTGTGGGTTTCTACACTGGGCTCATTCTAAGGTTTTAGTCCTACAGGTCTTGCATCCACTTCTGAGTTCTGCCAGCAACAGTTTTATCTCAGTAAGAAGTGTGTGGGCATTTGGATTTCTCCCCATTTAATCTTGTACTAACTTTCCACAAACATGGCCCCTTGGGATGTCAGTCAGTGGCTGCCCTCTGACCTGCTTGCTAAACAGATACCACATTGAGAGCTTCAAGGTGGTCCCCCTGAGCAATGTTTTGTTTGGGGCCAGGAACATTTTCGAGGATGTGAAAACACTTGCAATGTGAGGAGAGGTGGAATCATGGCACTCCAGCTTTGTAAAATATTGAAGAAAATGTCCTGCATCCTCAATAGCAGAGTGGAAAAGACTCAAGATTGACATTTCAAGTTTCCAGAGTTACAAGGTCGTCATGTGAAATGTGACAGAACTGTGGCCGCCTTCAGCCCCCTGAGTCATGCTTGCTTACTTTCTTTCAGTACTGCCAATTGAGAGACACTTTCATAATGCTGCTAAAAGCAATCATTTGGATCTTATGGAGAAGCTGTTTAAAAAGAAGGTTAACATTAATGCTGTGAACAATGTGAGTAGAAGCCACAAATATGACAAGTGACTGCTCTGTGGCAGCTTGGGATTGCATAGGTCAGCCGAAATAATAATAATAATTGAAGCGGTTGGGCTGGCTGAGATGTGGGGGCTCTCCTTTGTTGGTAAAGCAGAGTGTTTAAGCTAAATGTGAAATTATGTGGCAGAGTAGGCTTGGGTGAGGGACGTACACAGAGTCCTTATGCACATCTGTGCAAAGCCTGTGTTGGGCAGGCAAACCCACCACTGTGGGTGATGGGCCTGGACTTGGTCCTGGATTGTAGCCTGAGGATCACTTTGGCCTCATACATTCTGGAAAGACAAAACATCCTTTGCTGTACCATCAGGCAGTTTTCTCTCTGTGATGCCCTCTGTAGTTGGGGCTTTCTAGATTTCAAATCAAATGAAATATGTGGATTTTCATTTTTCTACTTTTGAAATAACACCTTCATGCCAGGCAGTGAGACCTTTTCTGAAATCTGGCTCTCTTCTGTCCTCTACTTACCTGGGCTTTGGGGGAAGTTCACTGCTAGAAACATGGGTTTCCTATTGCCTGGTTTTATGAGGATTTTCTTCAAGGGTTTATCCAAGTGAGCAGATTGGAGGTTATGCCACTTGCTTAGGATGAATTGTGGAGTGGTTTGTGATTGGATAGAAGAGGTGGATTTAATGCTAATGAAAGCATATGCCATGGGCCCCTTGTTTGCTGCTTCCAAGGCACTGGGAGGGTACTAGCAATGTGTGCCCAGGATTAGATGATTTTCATAAAACCTAAATATTTTACCAAAACATCTTAGCTCCACAAGTTATACAACTCTGGTTTTGGTTTTAAAAAGGACTCTGTAAGGTGCATGCATGTGAGGGGGCATGTGTTCATATGTGTGTTTATGTGAATTTATATATCTATGTATGTAACTGTGTTTATGCACATGTTTAATATATTGTGGATATATAGTTTTCATGTAGTAGAAAACCAGAAAGGTTTTATAGTATAACAGTTCCAGAAACAAAAAAATAAAAGGAAGGGAGGAGGAAAGGAAAAAGGATGAAAGAAGAGAACATCATCAGGCAAGAACCTCTAGAAGTAGTTATTCACAGTTTCAAAATTATTTATATTTATCTTTTAAGATTATTATGATCATAACAGATTCAGTTTTGAATAAGTGAAGCAAGTGAAGCAATAACTTTTTCTAAATAGCAGGAAATAGTCTCTGACGCACATTTAAAACAATTTAAATTTTCCACACAAAGCAGTTCTGACCTCTTCTGTTTCTATAGTGCTGGTTTTGAACCTAGGGCCTCAAACATGCTAGGCAACCTACCACTGAGCCACATCTTCATGCATTTTGTGTTTGTGTGTGTGTGTTCGTGTGTGTTCATGCACATCTGTATGTGGGTACATTTGTGTGCATACACATGTGTTTGGAGGTTGTCTCTGCTTTCCCAGTACTGGGATTACAAGCACATGCAGCTTTTAAAACAAGCCACCAATCAAACCAACCAACCAACCAACCAACCAAAAACTAGGGTCTCACTATGTAGGCCTAGCTGGCCTAGAACTCACTGTGTATCCCAGGCTGGCTTGAATTCACAGAGCTCTGTCTGCCTCTGCCTCCTGAATGCTGATATTAAAGGCACAAACCACCTCATCCAGCATCATGCAGCTTCTCCCTGTACCCTCCCTCCCCGCTGCCCATGTGGTTTCTGGGAACAAACTTAGATCCTTGTGATTGCAGGGCAAGCACTTTACTGACTGAACTATTTCTTTAGCACCCTGACTTTTATTTTCCTCCAGCCTCAACCTCTTGAGTAGCTGGGATAATAAGTCTACACCACTAGTCCCAGCTAGTTCTGATGTTTTTATTTTAGGGTTCTTGGAGAGATTCTAGTTTGTAGTCATCTTAGCAAGTTAGAAATCACTGATTGGTTATGTCTTCTCCCCCATTTACACCCTTCTTTATCTCTCTCTTTCCTTCCCAATCTCTTCTTTTGTCCTTTCTTTTTTAAAAATATTTTATTGATTCTTTGAGAATTTCATACAATGTATTTTGACCACATTCAGACCCCCTCCCTCACCTCCTCAGATCTACACCTACTTTTCTAACCCTCTCACTTCATGTCTTCTGTTATTTTTTAAAGTCCATCAAGTCTAATTTGTGTTCCTCAAATATTCTTGAGTGTGACTACACCCCTGGAGTGTGATCAACCTATCCATAGTCACACCCTTAAAACTAACTCTCCCTTTCCCAGCAGCCAACTGTTCCTCAGCTAGGGCTGGGGCTTCTTTTCCACCACCCCCTTCCATGCTGGGATTTTGCCTGGCTTGGGCTTGTGCATGCTATTACCAGCCCTCTGGGTTCATATGTGTAACTACTCTGTTGTGTTAAGAAAATATCTTCCCTCCCTCCTTACCTCCCCCCTCCCTCCCTCCATCCTTCTCTCCCTCCTTCCCTCCCTTCCTCCCTCCCTCCCTTCTTCCTTCCCTCCTTCCATCCATTCTTCCTCCCTTTCTCCCTTCCCCTCTCCCTTCCTCCCTTCCTCCCTTCCTCCCTCCTACCTTCTCTCACTTTCCTTCCTCTCTCTCTCCACCCCCTTTCCTCTTTTTCTTCCTTCTTCCCTCCCCCTCCTTCCCTTTCTTCCTTTCTTCTTCCTACATCCCTTCCTTCTTTCCTTCTTTTCCTCCTTCCCACCCTCTTTCACCTTTTCCTTTCCTTCCAAAGCAATTTATTGGTTTCAAAGTAAGATAAAGCTTTTTAAAATTAATAGAAGGAATGGATTGAGACATTTAGGGAATTTTGATATGAATTACTATATTCTGTTATGACTTAGATCCTTAGTGTCTCCAAAAGCCATGTCTAGTTTTTTTTTTTTTTCCTTGTCTTTTTGACAAAAAAAAGGTCTCCCTGTAAGCCCCATCTGGCCTGAAACTCACTATGTAGACCAGGCTGGCCTTGAACTCACAGAAATTCACCTGCCTTTGCCTCCTGAGTGCTGGGATTAAAGGCCTATGGCATTACATCCAGCCAAAAGCCATGTCTTGAAGGCTTGGTGTCCAGACAGTGGCACTGCCAGGATTCTGGTGACACTGTTAAGAAACGGGATCCAGCTGGCGAAGATGAGCTGCCAGGAGCATGATCTTGAAAGAGACATGGGAACCCCAGCCTCTTCCTCTCTTTTCTCCTGGCTAATATCAGATTAAGAAGCTTTGCTTTACTACACCCTCCCTACCAGTTATGAACTGGAACTCTGAAATAGTGAGCCCAAATAATTTTTCCTCCTTAAGAGCTGTTTATCTCAGTTATTTTGTCACAGTAACAGAAAGTCAACTAACACATATTATGATTAACTAATAAGCATTAATGATTGCATACAAGGGAAAAAAATCAACATTTACTGGCTTAATGAAATTTATTCTATTGTTATGTAGCTGGCTGTGCAGTGGGCTGCATTCTGGGCACATCCTTCCGTGGACTGCCAGACTCCTCAGGTGTCATCTGCAAATAGGCAAAGGCAGGATTCTGCTAGACAGTTTTCATAACTTTCAAAGGAAAAGGCAAAAAGTGGAGCCAAATAGTCAAAGTGCAAATACTCAGTAGGAATGTACTGCCGCTGGTCAAGAAACAGGAAACCTAGCTGAACATGGTGCTTCATGCCAGGAATTCCAGCAATCAGGAAGTGGAAGCAGAAGGATTACCACAATTTTGAGGTTAGCCTGGGCTACATTGTGAGACTCTGTCTCATAAACAAAAGGAAAATTCAAAAAAAAAAAAAACCAACAAAAAAAGGGAGGAGGGTGCATACAGAAATGGTTAAAATGTTGTCATAATCAGTTGACCAAAGACACAAATTATGTTTCCTCAGATGAACCGAACAGCCCTGCACTTTGCAGTGGGTAGAAATAATTTATCTGCAGTGGATTTCTTGCTGAGTCATAAAGCCAGGGTGGATGTTGCTGACAAGGTAAGCTCACCTTTAGTGGGTGGAATAGTCACATGGCATATACGGCATGTACATGGAGAATTCAGTCACCCAAGATATTTCCCTCTCATGCACACAGCACCTCCATCAGCAGTGTGCGTAGAGGAATAGCTCTTGGGAGAAAACACACCTTATGCAAGCACTCCTTGTGTTTGGTAGCTTCATTGCCCACTCATTGCCTTTAAGGCTTGGGGTTTTATTTATTTTCCTAGCCACTAACATTCATGTTCAAAGGTAACATGATTTCCCACAGTATAGTTTGCTTCATGAAAGACAGAAGCCAACTTGTTCCAGGGACTTTAAATCGGGACTTTGCCCTGTGGACTCTGCTAATAAATAATGCTTATCACATATATGTTCTATGCCAGGCACAGATATTAGGGAGGATATTTAGTGCTTTCTCCTTTCAACTCTGTGGGAAAAGTATTAAAATACCCAGTTTATAGATAAGGAGACTCAGAGAGATTAAATATCCTTCCCCCAAAAAGTACATTTAAGGAGGACTGAAGGCAGGGTTTGAACCTAACTTAGGTCTGATTCTAGAGACCATGCTGTGAGCTACAAACCAGCCCACATGTTTATTGCCAAGGTAACAAAGCCCACCCTGAGGACTTTTCACCTTCTTATCCTACTTTCATTTAGTGCTTTACCACGGCACAAGGAAATCAGCCAGAGAGACCTAAAATCATGCTTCCCAGCTCTAGTCACCGAAGATAATGACAGCCTTACTCTTTATAAAGTTCTTGATTCTGAATTAATTACACAGACTGTGGTTCTTTTTTAAGTGCTTTATTTATTATTGTTGTGTTATTAATGTGTGTGTATGCCGCAGCACACATGTGAAGGTCAGGGGACAACTTTCAGCAATTGGTTCTCTTCTGCCACTGTGGGTTCTCATACCGATCTTAGGTGGTCAGGCCTACACTGCAAGTACCTTTACCCTCTAAGCCATCTCACCAGCCCTAGACCATGGTTCTTAACTTTACTTCACTCAGATAATGTTCAAAGAGCTGCTCTGTTTCCTCTCTGAACTGCACTCTCTGGAAGGGAAAACGCAGCCCTGCTTTATCTTCACCCTCTCACAGAGCAGTAGAGTTCGCTTACACCAATGAATCATCTCACTGGTTTTGTTGGCAATCATATAGACAAGACGTAGATTTGATAATGGTGGAAGTTTCTTTTTGTGTCACCAATAGGGCACCAATCTCTCTAGATTATTCTTGTGGTAATAGTGAGCAAGTAATCGTTATGTATCCACTGAAAAGATGGTAGCTTTGTGAGTATGAGTGATTGTATAATGGTTGTGTTGATTTTGGGTGTGTGTATGCGTGCGTGGAGGCAGGGAATGATGGGAATTCAGCCTAGGGCTTTACACATGCAAGCATGCCATCACTGAGCAATATCCCAGTCTTTTAAAAACAATTTATTGGGCTGGAGAGATGGCTCAGTGGTTAAAAGTGCTGACTGCTCTTGCAGAGGACCTGGGATCGTTTCCCAGCACCCACACGGCAGCTAACAACCATCTGTAACTCTAGTTCCAGGGGATCCAATGCCTTCTTCTGACCTCCAGGGGCATTGCATGACATAGGTGCACTTACATACATGCAAGCAATACATTCATACATGTAAAATAAAAATAAAATAAATAAGATATTGTAAAAACAATTTATTTTGAGACAGGATCTCATTAAGTTGCTCAGGCTGGTCTCACACTCACTACATAATCCAGACAGGCCTTGAATTATGACCCTCCTACTTCAGACTTTCAAGTAGCTGGTTTTGCAGGCCTGCCACCATCCTCAGCATATGGCTATGGTAATTAAGAGACATGTTCTTTAGGTATGCAAATTCTGATTTGATTATTTTTCATATTAGTTTGCCTGCAGAAGATGCATTGGTAATAGACATGATTAGCCAAATATATTTACATTTTGACATTGAAAACCCTGATACAGTATCTTTTTATTTTACTTTAATTTTGAAACTAACATTCTGTCCAGTTAACTTTCTTTTTGGTGTATAGTTCTGAGTTTTAAAAGGTATATAGATTCATGTAACAATTACTACATTAAAAATTGTAGAGCAAAGGACCTAGGAGTATAGCTCAGTAATAATGTGATTAGGATGCATAAAGTTCTGGGTTCAGTCTTCAGCATAAAAATATACCAAAAATCAGAACAGCTGTATCAACTCCAAATTTTCTCTCATGCTGCCTCACAGTCAAACCTGCAGCCCTCATGAGAATGACACATATATCACAGAGCATAGCATAGAACCTTTGAAACTGGCTTCCTTTTAAAGTTTTATTTATTTTTATTCTATGTGTGTGAGGTTTTTTGCCTGCATATATATAAGGGCACCCAAGCCCACTGAGCCTAGAAGATGGCATTGGTTCCCCTGGAACTAGAGTTGCGGATGGTTGTTAGCTGCCATGTGTGTGCTGGGAACAGAACCTGGGTCCTTCGCAAGAGCAGCCGGTACTTTTAACAACTAAGCCATCTCTTCAGCCCCAGAGACTGGCTTCTTTTACTCAGTAAAATGCTGCTGGAGTTCACCCATATTGTATGTATCAGGAATGCCTCACTCTTTATTGCTGAAAAATATTCTGTGTATGGATGTAGCCCAGTTTATCCATTTACCATTTGAATGAGATTAGGATTGCTACCAGTTTGTTTTTACATGTAAAGCTAATGGGGCAGATGGCTCAGTGGGTAAAATGTACTGCACAAGCCTGAGAACCTGTGTTTGGCTCCCTAGCACCCACATAAAAAGCCAGGCACATACCTGTAATTGCAGTTAAGGGAGGTGGGGTTTGCTGAATTCCAACTTAGCCAAAAGAGCAAGCTCCAGGATCAGTGAAACTTGCATCAAAAAACAAAGTGAAGATCAATAAAGGAAAATACGTGAAGTCCACTTCTGACCTCCACGTGTGCACACACACACAAAATAAAGCTACTATAAACATTCTTGTGTATTTTTTGAAAACACAAGTTTTCCTTTCTCTAGTATAAATGAGAGGATAAAATTCAGTATGAATTATTGGGTCAAATTGTGTGTGTGTGTGTGTGTGTGTGTGTGTGTGTGTGTGTGACTTAGCAGGAACCACAGGAACTGCAGGCTGTTTTAGGAGAATTGGGCCATTTTCATCATCACCACCACTACAGAATTCAACTTGCTCTGCACCCACCAGGGCACATGGTATTGACTAGTGTTTTCATTCTCCTTCAATTTTAGCCATGCTTATAGAGATACAGACATCTCATTGTGCCTTTATTTGTGCCTCTCTAATGATTTTGTATATCATCTTTTGTATATCATCTTTAGTGAAATCTGCTCAGAAAGTTTTTCAGTGCTAAGGATGGTAACCAGAGCTAAACAAGTCTTCTACCACCACTGAACTAGATCCCCAAACACATCTTTTGAACATTTCTAAAAACTGGGTTGATTACTCTTTTATTATGAAGTTTTGAGTTTGTTACATACTTTAGATACAAATCCTATGTTGTATGTAGTTTGTATTATTTCTCATTTCTGTAACTTGTGTTTACAGTATTTTCACAGAGCAGAGGTCTTTGATTTTGATGAAGTACAATGTTTCCATATTTTAAAATAAGTCTATATATATATATAGGGATTTGCCTAACTTAGACAATTTTCTTCTAAAAATTTCATAGTGTTATGTTTTCCATTTAGATTTATAGTTGCTATGGTTTCGACATGTCCCCCACAGTTCATGTGGTGGAAACTTAATCCCTGATGCAACAGTACTGAGAGTTGAGACCTTTAGGAGATGAGCATTCACAGGGCTCTGCCCTTCCAAGTAGGCTAATGTCGTCTCTCAGGGAAGGGTTCTTGATAATAGAATGAGTGCCCCCCCGCCCACCTCCACATAATATCTTCTACCATATTATGATTCAGCTCACCAAACAGCCCTCTTGGTCTAGGACTTCTCAATCTCCAGAATCACAAGCCAAACAAATTTCTTCATTGCTAATTACCCAGCCTGCGGTATTATACTAAAGCAGCAGAAAACAGATTAAGACAATGGTCACTTTGAGTTAATTTTAGTTCAGGGTGGAAATAGGTTGAGATTGTTTGTTTGTTTGTTAAGCATGGATGATCAGTGTTTTTTAATGTCACTTTAGTTTCTAAACACTTTGAGTGCAATTAAGATCTATCCTACAAACCAGTCTGAAACCTGTTCAGTTCCCCAAACTGTTGTCACAATGTTAAGAGTGACTCCATGGGCAGCTCAGAACAGAGCCCAGCAGTGGTTTCAAGCTCCTTCCTCTCCATGATTAACCTCTCCTGCACACCACCGCCCAGCTCCCTAGAGCTGGCAGGGACAGAAGAGAGCAACAAAGCAGACGGTTCCTCCCACCTGCTCTTCTTTAGAGGCCTCCTTCTGCTCCTTAGACCACAAAGAGGGAGTGTTTCTTGAAACTCTTTCTGTCCATGTCCAGTTCCAGGACTGGTGCTTCTTTGAGTCTCTTGGAAGATATAGAAGGAAAAAACAAAAGCAAAACAAAACAACATCAAGAAACTTATCACAGGATTGTTAATACAATTAAGTTTCGGTTTCCTTCTCTAATCCACCTGCCACCATTTACTTTTCAGGGTCCTTGGAGAACTGGGTTTTATCAGAAACTTCAGTTGCATTTGGTGGAACAGACAGGGTAGAGTACACTTACACTAACTTAACTGGAACCATTCCTTAAATCTTTAACATGCTTTCAAAGTACAAACACTTTATACAACAAACACCTCTGTACTCATGGCCCACACTGAGCAGCGTCTTGTCTTAGACTACTGAACATGAAATGTTTTTTTTTTTAACTTTTACAAAAACTTTATTGAGAATTTCTTACATGCATATAAGGTGTTTTTATCAAATCCATGCCCACTTCCTCCCCTCCAACATTCCCCCCTCTGAAGAGGTAACCCTAAAATGTTTTAAGGATTAGATAAAAACTCCCAAATAC